TCCTAGGCTATAACTGTTTCGTGTTCTTGTTCAATGATTTACCGTGTAAATGGACCTATAAATGGACCTTATTCCCCTTGTAAAACTGTGCACTGTTTTGGTAATTCTTAACAGTGTTAGGACTTTTGCTACAACTGACAGAACTATAAATGGTAAATCGGACCTGGATTGCATGTTATAACCCCTGCTTGTATGTGACGATATCTTAAAATTTCAAAGTTTTTTTGAGATAAGGATGGAAAGAATAACGAAGTAGTGACGGGGTGGTGGGTAGAAGGAGGTGCGAAGAAGAGAGGAATGAGGCGGGAGCTAAAAAAGGGATAGAGTGTTAAGTTCGTGTTTGTGGCTTTTACAAATCTTAGCGTTAGTTGAAAAATTGAAATCATCAGAAAATTTTCGGTTCTTCCAGTCTATTTTGGAATTTGTCCATAAAAATGTCCTGGAATGTTAATACGGAAGCCTAAAAAATTCTTGATTCTTCCTTTTTTTCTACAAAAACATAAATCCTCCTTTCCCTTCATTCCTCTTAATTCACTGCCCTTATCCCAAAAAGCTTCCCGTTCTCCTCCTTATCCTCCACTCCTAGAAAAATGAAAAAATTTTTTTCAGTTCAGCTACTTCTTAACCAGGTGCATACTTCGATAAACATTTGTGACAAAATGGAATTCGGCTTCATTCCGAAACGTCACACTGGAGAAAACTGGCCGCGCACTGCTCTCATCCGGTTGGCAGAGCAGCTGATCAACAGTTTCCATATTCTTGAAAATTTCATAGTCGGGGTACTTCTGCAACAAAGAAAAGCATTATTATTTCTTAAAGAATCTTTATGACTCTGTTAATTAACAAAATCATCTAAGACGGCTTAGGAATTCGATGTGGGTATCCCATGTTAGTGATGTTATTGTGATGCTTCCGCACAAAAAGGCCTAACTACAGCAAGTCTTTACTCCTGAGTTACAACTTGCAATAACATTTCTTTTATTGAGCTTATTGGAAAAAAGGCTATAGTCGGTGCGATGCTGACTCAGTTGTGCTAAAATTAATAGATTTTGCTGAACTTAAAACTACCTAACTTTCTTCGTTCTATGGCACAAGCCAAGCAGCACGCCGTCCAGCTCAACTTTATTTGTTGCCCCATTAAAAATTCCTAAGCACTGTCATGCCGATCGGAGCACTTGCTGGATACGGTAGCGACTATAAAGTACCCAAAAACGGTTGAAGAACTGACCCCAGCGTTGACGTAGTGGATACTGTAGCAGTAATCGATGCTGTTATAATTGAATACATAATCGCAGAATTCCTGCTTACCTTCAAAGCAAACTTTTGAAAGTTCTAAGAAAGTACGCATGACACCACAAGAATAAATAGAATCAAAGTCGGGGGTTTTTTTTCGCAGGAAGAAATCAACGAATATTGTCTGTCAACAAAAAGCCAACCAACAAATGAGAAAAACAAATCGGTTTAAAAAAATGCCTGAGCTTAGAAACTAAGCCCAGAAAACATCTGTGATTCAATTTCATTTTGAACTTAAAAAGAAATTTGACAAGCTCTGCTCCGCCCTTGTCTACGGCTA